TGCACAATTTAATAACTACTTTTACTCTTACCACATTTTGATCTGCACTCCACACAGTGTTTTTTTTTTGTCCCCCCTCTTTTCCCTTTTATTAAAGGACCACTATAGTGCCAGGAAAACATACTCGTTTTCCTGGCACTATAGTGCCGTGAGGGTGCCCCCACCCTCAGGGTCCCCCTCCCGCCCGGCTCTGGAAGGGGGAAAGGGGTTAAAACTTACCTTTTTCCAGCGCTGGGCGGGGAGCTCTCCTCCTCCGATCCTCCTCTTCTCCTCCCATGCGGCTGAATGCGCACGCGCGGCAAGAGCTGCGCGTGCATTCAGCCGGTCACATAGGAAAGCATTCATAATGCTTTCCTATGGACGCTGGCGTGCTCTCACTGTGAAAATCACAGTGAGAAGCATGCAAGCGCCTCTAGCGGCTGTCAATGAGACAGCCGCTAGAGGAAATAGGGGAAGGCTTAACCCATTCATAAACATAGCAGTTTCTCTGAAACTGCTATGTTTATGAAAAAATGGGTTAACCCTAGCTGGACCTGGCACCCATACCACTTCATTAATCTGAAGTGGTCTGGGTGCCTAGAGTGGTTATTTAACTGTTTTATAAACAGTGCTCTATTAGGTGCCAATTTTTATTACATGTCACCATAAATAAAAATTCCCCTTGTTTTTCTACTTTTCCTGCCTTCTTCTTTACCTTCCTTATATTATATCAATATATCAGGGGTCTCTTTTTCTTTTTCTCTTTATTCTCTCCTTCTTTTATTTTATAAGATAACAAAATGTAACTTGCCAAAACATGAGCAACTCTAAACACTGCTTTCTCTCCTCCTTTATTGTATCACCCTTTTTTTTTTTTTTCTTCATTATGGCAATGCCCAAAAGTAAGGCTGAGATAGTTAGCCCACTTATTATTAGCCAACAACAATTCTCTCCTTCTCCTGCCTATTACTTTTCTTTCTCTTTCACAAGTGCTCTGCTCTGCTTCTGCCTGTCCTTGCCCGATAGCATCAGCTCCCCTTCCTCTTCCCACGTGTTAAACTTGCTCGTGTTGGTATGCTTTGCGCATGCACACGTTCTCTTGTTCGCGCATACGTGTTTTCATGCTTGCACGAGTTTGAGCGTATTCTTACATGTTCGTGCTTTCATGTGCACTCGATGGAAAGAGCATTCTGCTTGTAGTGCCCACATGAAATCCTGAAATGCCCACTAATAAGCAGTAGGGACCAGGTTGACGACCCCTGCTTTTCAGAGATGCTAGTGGATGCATGGAATAGCCTTCCAGCTGAGGTGGTGGAGGTTAACACAGTGAGGGAGTTTAAGCATGTGTGGGTTAGGCATATGGTTATCCTAGCTATAAGATAAGGCCAGGGACAAAGTAAAGTATTTAGAAAATTGGGCAGACTAGATGGACCGAATGGTTCTTATCTGCCGTCACATTTTATGTTTCTATGACATCACTGAAAACAAAGTGTTTTAAAACAGTAAAATGTATGACAAGTATATCTTTGGTGAAAAGGCATTTTTATTTTGGTCAAAAATGCAAAAACAAATATGAACACTGACTTTGGCAAGGGTTTGTGATTAAGTGGCTACTAAAATAGACTGGACATACCCCGATTTGAATACCTTGGGCTGTCTACTTTTGCAAATGGTATGCCATGATGGGGATAATTCTCATTCCTAGGTTGACATACGGTCTCAGAGGCAACATAGGCCCAGCAAACCAATTTGGCAAATTAAAATGTGTATAAACTGAAATATGAAAGCTTTTTATTTGACCCTGTAACTTTCCAAAATACCATGAAACCTAAACATGGTTGGCATCTTTGTACTTGTAGGACATCGCTGAACACAAATATGTGTATGTTATTGCAGTAATCAGTATTATGGCATTCACAGTTAAAATGAAATACCGAACTTTTTTGTATTTTTTTTTTTTTTATAGATTTTATTCATATTACATAGTGTTCCATTTCTAAATATTTGATGTGACTGAAAGCTGTGCTTCTCGTGAACAAAATTATATATAATAAATATGGGTGCACTTAGTATGAAAATTGAGTAAAAGGAGGAGGTTCCATGGCAAGACAAACCTCTCCATGCAATGTACCACCAGCAGATAGTGGATGTCACTCACATGGCAACATCTTACCAATGGTTGTAAAAGGCAGGACTAGGCATTAATCATAGAAGCAAAGGGACAGGCACTCCATACCAGATCAATAGAAGCAGGTATCTACCACAACAGGCAAGACCCAAGGTGCAGACTGTGCAAAGGCCTCTGAGACAGTTCAGCACATAGTGGCCAGTTGCAAGATGTTAGCAGCATACACGGAGAGAGAGACACAACCAAGTTGCTGGGCTTGTATATCGAAACATCCGCACAGAATATTGGTTGGATCTGCCTAAGTCCAGATGGGAGATACCACAAAGGGTAGTTGAGAATGACAGGGCTAACATAATGTTTGACTTTCAGATCCAGATGGACAAGCAAGTGCTGGCCAACCAACCTGACATCATGGTGGTAGATCAGGAATGGAAGACTGCAGTAGTGTCGGATGTGGCAATACCATGTGGCGATAACATCAGGAAGAAGTAACATGAGAAGATGGACAAATAACAAGGACTGAAAGAAGAGCTAGAAAGGATGTAGAAAGTGAAAACAATCGTAGTCCCAGTTGTGATAGGAGCACTCTAAGCTATGACTCCCAAGTTGGGGAAGTGGCTTCAACAGATTCCAGGTAGGACACCTGAGATCACTGCACAGAATAGGATAGTTCTAGGAACAGCTAAGATCATGCACAGAACCCTCAGACTCTTATACCTCTTGTAGAGGACCCAAAAGTGAGGAATAAATATACCACCCAAGAGGGATGAGAAAATATATAATATGAGGTGTTGAGAAGTAGATATACAGTTTAAATAATACATATAATAGTAATAGGTATTAAGTTTAAATTAATATTTTATTGAATAACCATATTGTTTGGTTAACCACTTTTGTTGATCATCTGTTACATTACCAGCCATACTTAATTATCTGAAAAAAATTATAAAAACATTTAAACAATATACAATAAAAGAATAGAATTGGTATACCTACTTATGCAACCCCCTGTATATGTATGTAGGGAGAGAGAGAGGCAAGGGGTATACTACTGTGCAGCTCCATTTCTACAATGACAAAGTGTGCTTGGTGGATGTAATTGAAATGATGCAACCAAGGATGTCCCCTGAGAATGATAGACAAATGAGGATACAAAAAGGCCAAGGTGGTGCACCAAAGGTAAAATATATTAAAACCACGACAGGTAAATGAAACAGTAAGATAAAAAACACTAAAATACTTATAAAACAGATAATGTTCTTTTTAAAAAGAAAAAGATATATGGTATACCAGTCCCAAAATTGTGTTCCTTCTTATCAAAAATCTACGTGCAGTGTTTTTTGTTGGTTTTTTTTTCACTTGATAAACCCTTATAAGGAGAAACTCGTAGATTTTATAGTGTTTGTTACTAATAAAGTATTGTTTGACTCCCTCACTTTTTGGTTTCTGCCACATACTATTTAGTTCAGGGCTTGACAAATTTGTTTGGAATCTAGGAGCCAGCTAAAAAAATTAGGAGCCAGAGAAATCAACATCAAAAATACTTAAAGGGACACCTTGTTCTGACGTCTATATCCTGACTCAGAATGCTTTTCAATGTAAACACTGACTTTTCAGACAAAAGGCAGTGTTTATATTGCTGCTTGGTGACATCTCTAGTGAGAGTCACTCAGACGGCCTCTAGAGGTCATTCACGCTTTGCAGCACTTACGTTAATGTTCCCTTTAGGGGTGCATTGATTCAATGCATCTCTATGAGAAGTTAAATTGGAGCAGTGGAATTTTGCCATGCATGCGTAATTTCCTATCGGAAAGCATTGGATTGGCTAAGATTGTCAAAATTGATGATCTCAGCCATGTAGGTGGGGCCAGTCGCGACGTCACAAGCACAGCGTGGGAAAAGGTGAGTAAAACACCTTTCCCATGTACACATACGTATACACACAAATAATTACTTTTTTTTAAAAAAATTTAAATCCACCCAGTCTCCCTACCTTTGGAGAGCTGGAGTGGATATGCTTTCCCTGGGGTCCAGTTGGGCTGCTGTCATCTCCCTACTCAGTTCCCTCTCTCGCACTGTTTAGTGTGCCGGGTGCCAGAGTGACGTCATAACCTGGCATCACTGCAAGGTGCGCGAGGGAGCAGAGCTGGGAAATTACAGTTCCCTTCCACGCCACCAGTCTCCCTCTCTCTCCATTAGCCAGCCACCCGCCTCCTTCTCTCAACTGTCCATGAGCTAGTCTGCCATCTCCCTCCCTCAGTAATACATAAGCCAACCGCCCCCTTCCTCTTTCAGCTGCTTGTCTCAGTCTCTGTGATCCGACTGCCTGCCTCTCCTCTCAGGCAGCTGGTTACTGGCGGGCTGAACAGGCTCACAAATCCTTGGCACCTGGGATTTGTCAAGCCCTGTTTTCGTTATTTTATTATTATATGGCTACTTTCTACCTGGCATCGGTTCCTACTACCTGTGACATCTGCGAACTTCCGTCAAAGAATCCTAGGTGGGGATTATACCACCCAGCCTGAAACATAGAGGAGCAGTTTGTCTGCTCACTACAGTGTAAGTAGGTTTTTATTATTTCTGCGCTTACTCAAACAGAGAGCACTATTGTTTTTTTCCTTTTGCCCTGTAAGGTCCACCTCACTACTACTCTTCTGTGGATAAGTACCAGAGAAATATTCTACAATTGTGGATCTAAACCATTGTATGCTTAGTAATCTGGAACTGGCTTGAGTTCCATTACATGTGAGTTGGCAATTGGATTTGTGTTGTGTGTACCGCATTTGAGCTTACATATGGCACTGTTGGCTTTTCCTGTTCTTCTGTTTTCTTTCATATATTGACATGAAGTGCAGCCACAATCAGGAATGCTGCACGGAGACTTTTGATACTAAGGAACACAAGTTTTGGGACTGTATTTATATATCTGGTATACCATATTTTATCCTTTTAAGACCATTATATGTTTTATAAGTGTTTTTTTTTATCTTACTGTTTTCATTTATCTGTCGTGGTTTTAGTATATATTTTACCTTTTGCGCAATCTGTACTTTGACCTTGCTATCTCTAGTTGTTCTTTAGGGGTTTTGGAGGGAATTTCGTACCCTCAGGTGTGCTGCCTTTCTATTAATATATTTATTTATTTCGTTTGGTTGTATAGCACCACTTTTCTTTTCTGTGTGTTTTCAAAATCAGAAATCAAAAGTATGAGTGAAAACAGCATCTTGATTCAGAATAAACACCGGAATGAGGCATGGAGTGAGTGTTGAGGGATATAATATAAACTGACAACCAAATGACGCTCTGATCATCAGGAAAGTTGTGGCCAGGAGGCAACAAACTTTTCTCAACAAAAGCAAACAAAATGTCTTCCAGACATTGTCTCACTGTGGCATTTCCACTGTAGAATAAAGGAGAACAATGAAACGACAAAAATGGAAATTGAATGTGACATAAAAAGTAATAAATCACAAGTGCATGGCAGGATGTGGAATTAATATTTAAGTAAGTTGTGCAATATCTGAAGCAGTGATTGGCTGATTATGTCAAAGTTCTCCATCTTGTCGAACAAAAGTTTAGAGTACAGAGAATGACCAGAGGGCCAGTTAGCAGCATGCTATATGCAGTGTATGGTTCCTGAAATCACCTCCTAAAGTAACCAGTCTTGGACATTCTGTGGCACCTTGGACTTCAGACGATCGCACATTCTAGTGGGCAGGGGATTGGTATGTCACATTGGGAGTCTGCATGAGTAGTGCGCTTTGTCTTTGCCCAAATTAACCGGCTATGTTAACTGGTTAAATTAGATATATTATCTATAGACAAGCCAGGTAACCATTTTGTATTGTAGTTGGGAATATAATATTAATAGAGTATCCTACCAGTTATCTGTGTATAATTTGTTTTATTAAATGTATTCCCACATATATCACACACAACATGTTTGTCTATTGTATTGTGTGACTAAGAACACTGCTGCCACCTACTGGTATCTATCCTTATTTTGGGCCCAAATTCCTCTGTGCCTCTTTTTTATCCTAATGTCCTTCTTTTCTAGGAGCTCCAATAGTGTTGCTGTTTCTGTGTATAAAACAGAGCACACCATTAACACTTCCAGTAAAGTGTCTTTAAACAACAAATATGTTTAGAAATCAGTCTCTATGAATAAGATACATTGTTCTTGTTATAAATTTATATTTTAGTGGCACAAAATTATTTGTAAGTCACCTAACACTTCTCAGAACTGCCCCGACCCTGGCCATACCCCACTCACTAAAATTAACTATTCCTCTTTTTCGATTTGAAATGTTTGTAGGCATGTGTAAGCGTTGAATGGAGTATATTTTAGTCCTATTTAAGGCAAAAAAACATGGAATAGGAGAACTCTGAGAAAGGAACCCCGTAGCTTGCCCTTCAGTATATCACTGCTCAGTAACTGAATAGAAAGGTACTTGCCTACTAGTCAGTGGTGTATTTTGAAATGGTGCTGCCCCATCGGCATGACAGATCTCGGGCACCCCCTAATTTAAATATACCCGCCCCTCCCTGCCAAGGCCACAACTCTTCCTGTTAACTTACACACATTTTGACTGACAGACACACACTCACGGACCAGCACACACTCTCAGATACACTGACCTACACACACATACACAATCCGACACAGATACAATCATTTAGACACACACTGACAGACGCATATACTCACTGACAGATGCGCACAATCACTCAGACACACTCACTCACATTCACTGACACACACAAAGTCACATTCATTGACAAACACACACATTTTCTCCCAACACTCACAATTTTCACCTGGGGTCCAGTGGGGCTGCTGGACAGGAAGGCGGCCAGACGTGCGGGCGGGCACTCTAAGTTTTCAGCGAGGGAGCTGTGATCTCTCTGCTCAGGTCCCTTGCACGTTGCAGAATGATGCCGGGAGCCGGACTGACACCTCCATAAAACGAGGCAAACTAGGCTAGCCTGGGCATTTGGGGGCGGCATTTTTTGCCGCCCCCTGGATATTGCCGCCCAAGGCAAATGCCTTGTTTGCCTCGCGATAGATACATCCCTGCTACTTCTGTCAATTTAATTAAAACATAACATTTAAAATATTAGATTAAAATATTACTATTAAAGATCAACAGATAAACTCAAAAGATATTAATTAATTCTAAGACTATATCAATAGTATAGACCAAAAAAATAATAAAAATACCAAATATATAAAGAAAACGAAAACATATATTTGTCACGCTGCCCGCCGGGACCGCTCCTTTTATCCATTTCCCTGTGCCCTGTTGTGGTTTCCATTTTGGTTATCCGAGGGCGCATTCCTGGTACTGATTCTTGTGTATTTTGACCTTGGCTTTCCTTCTGACTATCCGATCTCTGTATTCCTTGACCTTTGGCTTGGCTCCTGACTATCCGGACCTCTATATTCCTTGACCCTTGGCTTGTTCGTTGTTTCCATGTTTTCTGTGTTCTTGTCCACAGCCTGTCTTGCAGTTTTTCCTTTTTTACGTTAAATCCAGCCATTCTAAGGCCCGGTAATATGTCTAAGGGTTTTCTTTATTTATTACTTAAGTGCTGTGTGTTGGGCATCTAGCTATTCCTGACAATATTTTTAAGAGATAAAGACTAATATCAAATTATCCAATGTAAGGTGAAAAATGTATGTGAGATGAATTGATAGTCTATTCGTTCCTGGAATTACAGGATGAGTCCAAGTATAAGAAATTTATGGTGTTACTTTAGAGATGCCAGTAAAGCTGAAACTGGCAATCTTAGAAGACACAAAGTGTCAAATAGAGTAAATATAACAACTTAATCGAAACTATAGTATACTATACAATTGTTTCAGTTTCCCTTGAAACCTCCAAGAGTGATCCTCTCCAAAAACTCATTGACACTAGTCAGGAGGATGTACAAAATGTCTTTTCTATTAAACCTCTCTCTGAAATCACGACTCCACGTACAAAATCATATCAAAAACAGATAAGGAGCTTATGGGAACCTGCAAGCTTAAACCAATATCTTGAACAAAAACTGGTCCCTCTGGGTTTACGCCCTGATATCTTATTACCTGATAATATAGAAACAGGAGTGGAACAGTATCCTCCTTGATTGTTCCTCTAAACTTATGAACTTTCTGGGGAAAATTGAAATCATACATTTTGAAAACGCAAATTCTCAATTACAGACCGAAATTGTTAGCATAAAAAACTTTTAAAGTGAAAACCAATTTCCTCAGATGGAAACACAACAAAAAAATATTGAAAATTTTCGACATAATTTAAAAATAAAAAAACATAAAAAATTTCAAATGGACCATAAGGACTTCAAAGAAGGCCCATTCTTTAGACAAAAGCGAGCAGGTCATAGACGTATGAATAGTCACAACAGTACCACTTCTGGGGAAACGTATTGGTCTGGAACAGCAATTCTTCCACTCAAACTCAAATCTCAGTACCTCAGCACAGATCTCAACAACCCAGACCTGGACATAATAGAGGTATCCTGAAACAGAACGATAAGACCGTATCATTTCTTGACACACCTATACAGACAGTTACCAACACTGCTACTCAGCACACTTCCACATCCCCCCCTCCATCAGCAACGGATGAGATTGAGGAACAGGGGGAAATGGGTTTACAAATCTCGCCAAAGACAACAGAGATACTAACCACTAATAAGATTGTCAACCTATCTGATTTCAATGTACTCCCGAGGCATGTTTTACTACAAATAAAGGCCTGTCGTTTGTCCCAACACCAATTTGGGATACATTTGAATGGACCAAAGATATCAACCTCTTTGGGAGAAAATTGGCTCTAGAAGTCTTGCATAAAAAGAAACAAGAAAAACTAACAAAAGACCTTGGGTTAAACTCTGAAGATTACATCCATTTACAAACCCTCACAGATTTATTAGATGAAAACGATTCACCAAGACAAATGACTGATTTAAAACCCAGAAGTTGGTATACTCCCAACTTTTCCAAAGTTCCACAAGTAGATTTATTTGTTCAATTTACAACTCCGGAATTAGAACACATTAACTCATTATCTAAACAAGAAGATAACCTCTCAGTCCATAAAAGGATAGCTCTAAGAGAACTTAGATCGGCTGAAGACACAATTATAAAACCCGCTGAGAAGGGTGGTGGTAATATCCTTCTGAAACAAGAAAATTATGTGTGCATGGAACACTTGAACGACTCGCACTACTACCAACACATCAACTCCTTCATCGAAGTTTCTGATGGAACTAAAAAAACCTCCTTACAAATGCTAACAACCAGAAAATCATTTCACATCAATGGCTGGAAACAGAGCTCCGGCTAAACCTCATCTTCACCTCCTTCTGGAAGCAGTTGAAGGCTCGCATGCGGCCTCCAATACACAAGCTGCTGACTGCAGACTGACCACGCACTGCACCACGAGGCACCCAAGGGAGGGAAGCAGAAGCTCCCCCTAATCCTGCACCCGCGAAAGTCCAGCTCCAGCAAAGGGCAACCTCGGGACCATACCTGAGAACCAGGTTGGGCAGCACAAACCTGGGCCTGGGTCCCTGGGGATTATCCAAGAGAAGACCCCTACGGCACCCTCATTGACGACCTGCACCGAGACTCAAGCCTCAGATGGGCAAGATCAGCCCGACACAGCAAATGAAACGAAGGGGTGAAAAACTGAAAGAGGTGACCGCGTCAAGAAGGCACACATGGAGCTGTCCCAGCCCAAGACAGGCACACAAATTGGAAGGCACAATACTCCCCAACCAGCACACCCCCGCATAGCTCAAGGGAGCTAAGCTTCCTCGCCCCGGGGAGACTGCACAAACTGCAATGACCAACAAGGTATCGGCTGACCCTAACTGGACTTGGACTCAATGTCAGGCAGAGTGCCCATTGTCACTCAGTTTTCTATGCCCAAACTGAACTCCCACGTATGTCTGCTGGCATCTATGTTCTATATTCAACTTTGTTTTCTGGCCTGCTTGCACAGGGGATCACGGGGGGGGGTTATTACCCGTAGTCCATCGATTAAATGCTAAGTATACCCAAGATTAGACTAGCCCATATTCAAGCAAGTATTATACTTTTATTTTT